TAAAAAACTTGAGTTGTCCTTAAAAATATATTAATTTTTATATAAAATTATCTTAGATTCATCATCAAACTAATCACAAAATCCTACATTTCCTATTTCTAATTTCCTATATTGACTTAGATATAATCAAAATTAAAATAAGTTAAATTCAATTACCTAACCTATTTTATTATTAATAATTTTTAAAGATATTTTTAGAATAAATAATTATCAAAACTTTGAGAATTCTATATTACATAATATGATTCTAACAAAAAAAAATATTAATTTTTACTTTATGATAAATTTAGAATAAATTTATACAAAAATAAATATATTTTAATATGTTTTATAAATAAGTATAATTTGAGTGTTACTTGAACATAACAGATTCGACTCAACCTGATCCGAAGGGATATGACCCGAATCAACTTGATTTAAACTAAACAAGTCCACAGATCGGTTAGGCTTAAAATAGCCCTGTTCAAAGATATTATCAGAATTTTTTTAAAATGTGATGTCCCTTTGTAAAAGTCAAATAAAATGGAATCATTTGATAAAAGCCTATTACTTTAGGTTTTTTTATAAATTATCCAAAAATATTAATTTAAACTTGGAATTTTAATTTAAGAGTATTAGCTAAGACATGAGTCCTAATCATAGTTGAAACAAAAGTCTTGAGTTGATCCTTTATAAATAGAAGGCTAATATAATTCTTTAGATATAATAGTAGGAGAGATTAATTAAAGCTAAAAGAGATTTTAAAATTCAAAGTCTAATAGATTGTAAGTTATTATGATTAATAATAGTTTTTAGTTTTTCTATTCTTCTACTTTATTCTCTATGATTTGTTAATGTCCATTACATTTCCGAGAAATTTTCCAACATTATGTCAGAGTGGGTTTGATCTTACAAGTTTGATCCTCAAGCTCAAGTTACATCTTATTTCAATCTGCCCTAGGAGAGAGAGGGTTGGAATCAAGAAGTTTTAAGAAAGAAATAGATACTGTATTTATCTTATTTCACTAGGAGGCTAGTTAGAGGTCCTCTTTTAAAAGAAATAAAGGAGAAAAATTTTCTATTAAAGAGAGAAATAGGAAAAAGAAAATCAATGAGAGAGAAACTATAGAAGAGAAAACCTATAGAGAAAAAATCAACCAGAGAGGAATGACTATGGAATAAATCAAGGAGAGAAACTACTAGAGATGACTAAGGAATAAATCAAGGAGAGAAACTATTAGAGAAAAATCAAGAAAAGATAAATTCCTTGAGAGAGAAACCAAAGGGAGAGATCTGGAGTCAGTGTCATGAAGAATTAATCTTGACATCGATAAAGAGCATATTTTATGTTGACAACTATCAAAGGAGATACGAAGGTAAAAACATAATTAACACATTAGATAGCATATAGGAGAAAGTAAATTGACAAAAGAGATCACCACTACATTGATGAGTTGATAGAGAAAAATCAACAGATTGAAAGTTTGATTGCTTTTAAAAGAAAATATTAAAGATATGGATGATGGTTTTAGAAGTTATTTTGGATCTCTTTTTTACTGACTTTTGATGAAAAAAATTATTGGAGATTGAATATAATGATATAATTTTTTTAAAAGATATTATCCTGAAGGAACATAAAGAAGATTTGGTTTTTAACGGATAAGATAAAAAAAAACTCTAAAGCTAATATCTCAAACAATAATAAATAATGTGTTTTTAATACAAATTTGGAGCAAAGATTGAAAGAAGCCTAGTAAATCTTAGAAAGTATTTATAAAATAGGTATATATCCTCCTATACTATTAGAAGATAAATTAGAAGAAGAACATGATATAAACCAAAAAGAAAGTTTTATCAAATAAAGAAGAAACCTCATTATGAATGATAGATTCCCATAAAAAATATGGAGATTGAAAAGATCAAGATAGTACAAAAGCAAGATTGATTAGATTACGATAAGAATAGATGATTTTGTTGGAGTAGATAATTTTATATTCATAAGAAGCATAAAAGTATATTTATTTTACTAAAAAATAAATATTTATAAATTTAATCATTAAATATCCAAAATAAGATGTTGTTTATATTGACATTTGTATTCAAGATTCAAGAGTTGTAAAAATTGATCAATTTTCTTAATCAACATATTGATTTTATATTTAAAGATCAATTCATAAATCTAATTTGATGGTTCGAGACAAATCAGAATTATATAATTGATTAAGATAGATATGATAGATTGAGCACATGATATCATGGATTATATGGCTCAAAATTTATAGATTCCAAAAAAACATTACATGTAACAACAACATCAAATGAGATTGCATCAATTTTCAATGTTTTTCATAATTTCTTTTATAAAATGTAATTTAAGAAAGGAGGTTGGAATATTAACTTAAACTTTATGATTATATAAAATTTTATTTTAAGAGTTTTACTTAAATAGAAGTCTTTATCATACTTGAAATCAAAATCTGAATTAATCCTTTATAAATAAAGTGCAAACGGAATGTCGTAAATACAATAGTAGATGAGATGATATAATTAAAAGAGGCACAGAGATTCGGATATGATAGATGGTAAGTTCTACTACGATATTATCCTTTGTAGTTCTTCTCTTCTCTCTATCATTTGTAGACACCCAACACATCCAAAAGGTTGTATGATCGTCGATAAGTATGGCATCCACCGACTAAAAAGTGGAAGAGACGCACAAGCGATGCACAAACTTCGCAGAACATAGTTGAATGATAACGCACGTTATTAGATAAGATAGCATGGTAAGCTCGGCCAGCTGCTTCTGTAATCATGATTCTAAGAAAAACACGATTTCCGACACCCAAGAAAAAGTTCCGCATCCGTTCCGGAATGGAACTCGGAAAATTGAAGACGAAGAGAGAAGAAAGCTAGCAAAAAGCAGTCCAAAGAGTACAAGTTCCCATCACTTCATGTATAAGGATGAAAGAAAGCTGCTGCTGCTGCTGCTGCTGCGCTCTTCCGCACAGTTGAGCAATAGTGGCCGGGGTCCACCCTCGAGCCGTCCCTCCCCACTCTTTCCCTGTTTCTCTCATGCGTCCCGACAATTCCAGTGTCATGTCATTAACTGGTATTGATGTAGCTAAAGATCTGGTGCACCGCCGTCGCAACCTCATCCGCTGTCCCCAGTTTGCACTCTTCCTCCATCTGCACCACCACCGTCGCATAAGCCAATCGTGGGATGACTGCTTATGATTGATTAATGAAACAGGGAGCGGCCGACGAACGAACCTTGAGGTTGATGGAGTAAAGAATGGAAGGGGGTTCGAGGGTGGTGATGTTGAGGTGCAGGATGGAGAGCCGGAGCTCCTCTATGGCAGCCATGGCTCGCACCAGCTGCCCCCGGCGCCGCTGCGCGGCCACCTTAAGGTTCACGTGCCCTTGCACTAACGTCGCTTCCACGTCCACCGCTGTCGCATCCTCCTCCTGAGACTGCGAGTAACCCATGTACTGTGACGAGGTGAAGAAACCGTCGTGCAGAGCAGGCGCACTGCACTTGTCGTTGTCGTCGGACCTCGATGAAACGGACACCGATGCTTGGAGCCGCTTCTGTGCCCGGAGCGAGATGAGGTGCTGCTCGAGCTCCTTTACGAACTCGATGGCTCCACCGACGATGGATGCCTGGTCGCCCTGCACTCAGCAAAAGCAGCTACATGGAGTCGAAGTCTACCGATGGGAGAAACGTACGGGAGGATTGTGTTAGGAGTGAGAACTACAGTGCGTACGCGTTGGACGAAGGAATGGGGCATCAGGGAGCGGAGGGTAGCAAGGTGATAGTTCATGACCCGCCGGCGGTTGCGCTCGACTGCTATGTGAGTCATCCTTTGACTTTCCTCCTTTTCCGCGCTCTTCGACGCCGACGCCGGCCGCCGGCGCATCCTCTTCTTCCTTTCGCCGGAGCAGGTTGCCGCGGCGGATCTCACGATGAGACCCGTCGTGGCCGCCATCGTTGGGAGCTCGTGCACCACGGTTCTCGTCTCCGATTCAGATAAGTGAGTGATGCAACTCTCCAGTTGCTCCGCCGCGGGGGATGAGTCCATCTCGGTCGTCCGCTGTTGCTTCAAGCTTTGGGTCCGCATCTGGTGGAGCTGGAAGTTGGTTTCCTGTGGGTAGGAGGTGGACAAGCTCCGTTGCTGATACTGTTGTAAATGAAGCTGGGCTTCCTTTCCCACCATTTCTTCCTCTGCTTGCATGGCTCCTTGGAGGAGTTGGAGGAAAGGCATTTGACGCGAGAACAGGCTCCCACAGCTCATTTCAAAGTGACCGGGAAATCTTGAGCGAGCTACCCCTGCTTCCTTGCCCTTCGAGCTCAACTCATCCCCAACCAGCTGCTTCAGAAACAAAGAAATAAAAAGATATGGAGAGAACAAAAAACACTTGTAGCGCATTGAATGGAATGTCTCAAAGTGGGAGTCATTATCCATCTCTCTTCCATCCACAAGTCAGTCTTCTTCGAGCAGATTGAGTGAGATAGAAAGAGACAGGAAAATATTGAACGAAAGAAGAGGTCGGAATACTTGGGGGTCGTACAAAGGAGTCATTAACGCGTCCTCAGAGCTGCTCCATAGAAAGAGCAGCAGATGCAGCTGCCACGGATGAGGATTTGGCCGCATCCGTTCCTCCTACCGGCAGCTGCGGCAGTTCCTTTGACTGAACCTCTCCTTAATTCCTCAAATGGCGCTTTCCTCCACCCACTTCTCGCCTTCACAGTCAAAACTTAGATCGGGCTTATCTTCCGCCTGCGACACTAAATGCATGCACAGAAAGTATAATACTCATCACGAACTCTGCTCATTCCTTCCTTGCGTGTGTTCAGGATACTAAATAAATGCTAGTTGAAGGAAGAAGCAGCGAGGCCAGGGAGCAACATGGAGGCTGAAATGTGGACAAAGAGCTACAGTGCACAATCTAAGATAGCTGCTAAGCTGCACGACTAAACGAACCTGAGGTGGTGAAAGAAGAAAGGAGGTATTTGATTTGGTGTGAGAAAGGAAGGGGTGATTTATAACTCGTCCTATACTAACTAGATAGAGAGGAGCTATGGGACACAGAGCAGTGTTTAGGGGGGCTACAGATGTGGTGATTTAGAGGCCGTGCATTGTTGCTTTGGTGGCAGATTTGTCCAGCAGCGGCGACACAACCCGGCCACAGACGTGGGTTCCTCTCTCTCTCTC